TGGTCTGCAGATGTTTGTGTTGCTGATCCCTGATTCTAGTCCTTTTCCTTTGATCCAGTTCATAAAACAGCATGAACACGAGAACCCAGAACCTCTGCAGGACAAACTGAGAGTCTCTCTGTGTTGTTTAACCTCTGAACTCGAAGGAATGGACTCCATCCTCTGACCTGGACCATAAGGGATAGAACATTGTAGAAAACATGGTGAGGGTCATCTGAGAAACTGTGTGATGCTGCTGACCAATGATCGAACAGTGTCTGAAGCAGGAGGACTCACAGCACAGAGAGACAGCAACCAACAGCAGAGTGTTCATCATGGAGATGAGACTAATGATGCTCCACATCTGGAGCAGCAGCAGCACAGAAGTACATCAACAGACTGGAGACTTGCTCAGAGTGTGGGAGGAGCTCATTACTCTGCTGGTAAACTGATGTGTCTCTTTTTATTACTTTTACTTTTTTGTGGTTCAAAAAGGAGATTGTTCAAAAGAGTCTTTATATATATATATATATTTTTTTTTTTTTTTTTTTTTTTCACAAAAGCTAGATGAAGAGATGAACAGACTGATAGTTTGTGACTTGTGCTATAAACCTAAAAAGAACAATTGCGTGGATTTCTTGATGGTCTGCTAATTATAAACATCCTAGTTTTTAATCTCGTCGTTTTATGTTCATCCACTTTTAATCATCCACTTGTTTTATTTATTTATTTATTGGTTGTTCATTAATGTGTCCTTCTTTAGAGCAGTGGTAAATTTCAGTTGAGTGATGAGCAACATTAGCAAGAAAAGATCAGACGAATTTGAGTTATGATATTTTCTAACAGTGCCACTTTAACATGAACCAGAACTGTAATTTAAAGTGAATGTGTTTCTGTTGGCTCACACGCTTGTGCTACTTCAAATCCTTGACCAACGGATAATGGTAATGTGTTTTAATTTCTTCTGTTTGTGTGCGTAAGTTGCATGATTCCGTTTTGTTTTAAACATTACAATACATCCAACATTTTTCAGTCAGGTCATCTGGACAGTTTATTTTTTTTGTGCTGAAACGTTTCGCCTTCGGTCCAGAAGGCTTCATCAGTCAAGGAAACACACAACAAAACTGATTCTTCCTCCAACAGCTTACTCCAAAGTGGAACGAACCAGTTCTGCTTGTGATAAGATGGTCTCTTTGGTACGCCCCCTCCTCCATTGCCGGCCCTCTTCCTTGTTGACAGTCTTGTCAAACTGGTTGAAAACAACAAAGTCCATGCTCAATAATCCAACAATACATCTTCATTCAAGAGATACTTCTGAAATCATTAGTCTAAGTGTGCCTCCTCTGGCTGTTAGTTAATACTACAAGTGTTTTGGGTGTGAGGGGTTTTATTCAGATCTGCTGCTTGTTTGTGTCACTGTGGTTCTCTCGCACAGTAATACACAGCAGAGTCTTCAGGATGCATGTTCTCTCCAGTTAAAGTCACTGTGTTGCTGGAAGAGTCCAAGTTGACACTGAACTTCTTTTCTAATGAATGTTTGACAGATTTGTCTTCACTCATCCACTCCAGTCCCTTCCCTGCAGGCTGTCTGATCCAAACTGTGTAGTAGTTGCTAACAGCATAAGAGACCTGACAGCTGATGGTCAGACGCTGACCTGGCTGCAGAGTTATAGAGGCTGGCTGAGTCAGCTGTTCTCCCTTTATACCTATTTAAAAAAGAATATATTTTACAACAAATTGCCAGGACATAATAAAAAATAACCTGTTTGGTGTGATAAATCTGTAGAAACTCACATCCAGCTGTTAAAAACAGGAAGAGAGCTGCAGAAAACATGTTGACTGATGAAACAAACATCCTGAACACAACTCCAAACTGATGAGACATTTTTATAGAAGGTAGGAGGAGCCCAAGATTTTAATGAATCAAACTAACAACGTGACGGTGGAATGAGTCTTGACAAAAGTTAAAGCCAAGAAACAAGTCTGGAAATTATCCTACAGATACAAAACACGTGTTTAAAAGATGCTGATGGTTGATTAGATGACAGCATTTAAATGAAACTGCAGACAATGAAAACAGGATGATGAGTTGTTCATCTTTCATTCATATTTCATTAAATGTGACTGTGTTTAAATAGATCATTCACAATGTATATTGAAATTCTTGCTTTTTCCCAATAAAAAAATCTTCGTTGTTTGCTTCTAAAATAATGATGTGTACTATGTTAAATCTTTTGTTCAGTCTGCTACTTAATCTTTCTTTGTTTTATTGCATCAAGCTGCACTTTTTTTGTACAGTCAGCCACTATTCAGATTTGTTACAATAAATATTAGCTAAAGTCTTAATTAATTTATCTTTTTGTCTTATTGCACAGCACTTTGGCTACCCCTGCGGTTTTTAAAATGTGCTATAGAAACAAGTTGATTGATTGCTTGATTGATTGATTAGAGCTATGACTAATAACACCCCCCTCATAGGTATCTATTCTGTCTGTGTTCAAGTTAATTTCAGATTACTGTTAGCAGCTAATGGTGTAAAACAGTTTTTAACAAACGTTAGTGATGTGATGACACCTTGATCTAAATATGGTGGAAACCTAAACGAGCTGTGCACAACCAAACGCCCACAAACTTAAATACTTGGAGCAAAGTTGTGGGGAAAAGAGGCTCAAATGATTGTGCAATAACTGGAACCACTAATGATGTCAGATAGAATGTGAATAATTTAGCTGGTTCATCACAGTTTTGACTCATGATTTGAACTTAACAACTGCACAATGTTTCTCCTCAATGGTCTAGTTCTTATTAAAACTAAAAGGTGTCAGTGTGTTTTATGTCACTGCTCATCACTCAGGTTGTATTTATTTAATTCTAAGGCCCGGTGAGGACTAATTCATTTTTTTATGTCCTGAAAGACTCAATCTTACTGTTGAAAGTGATTTTGTTTACTTTTTACTTTGACTTCATTATTACTTCATTATTTACGTCTAATAAACTAACTGAGATATTATATTTAGGTTTTATTGTTCAGTTGCTTCACTAACTTCAGTCACAATTTTAACTACAGTTGTTGTCAGAAAACTGATTAATGTTGATGTGTTTTTAAAAAAAAGTTTCTGTAGATTTTGATGTGCCTAGGGGTGAGTTTGTTGTGTTGTATTTATGTTTTTCAGTGGTTTTCTCATATTATGTTTAAGAACCGCACCTTGCAGAACATTTTGATTTTTCTTTGAACAGCACTGAAATCATTAGTGGTCTTAGGCTTGTAGTGAACCAGATGACCTCAAATCTACCAGATGGACAGAGACTGTTATTTCCATTGATCTGAATAAGTCTGGGCCATCTGATGACTTTCTTTCTTGAATTAATCAAGCAGAAAAGACAATTCTTTATAATCATTACTGTCTTACAAATGTTTTGATAATCAAATTGTGTTAGTTCACTCAATGCTTATAGGTTGAAAAGAACTACTCATCTTTATTTTACATAAACAGTAAGTAATGATTTTTATTCCTCATTCCAAGAAGAAATCACCTGAATAAGCATTCCTTGATTTTCTGTCTGAAATGAGTCAAGTCGTAAGTATGTGAAAGGTTGGTTTTCGGTCAACTAAAATGTTTACCGAGAAAAATGTCATGTTTAAACTTTTTCAGAAGATTACCAAGAGTTGACTCCACGAAGTCTGCTGTTGCTGCAATAATCTTTTCTGTATGTGAAAACAAATTTCATTCTCTGACCTCGACTGTTGATAAACACCTTACGTCAAAACCACTCCTCTTTCTGGTCCTTCCACGAATCAGAAAGCTCTAAATTGAACAGGAAGTCGACCCAAATAAAATGTGGCAACTTCCCAGTTCATGTTAGATTGAGAGTGCAGCCGGTTCTGAAAGTTTCAGAGCAATGAAGAGTCCAAGAGAGCAATGAAGAATCCAGAGGTTTTTGGGATTATAATTCTGTTTTGAGCTAACTACGCACGACTCTCTGAAGGTTTGGTAGTTCTCGACGGAGACGCTGAAACGAGTCAGAAAGGAACTACTCCGACGCTGATTCATCATCAACAGGTAGATGGTTCTATTTTGACCAAGTGTACCGTGAGAAGCTGAGATCGGACGGAGCGTGCAATTTCTGGTTAAACAGATTAAATTTCCCTCACATATTTCCTCTGTAAGATAAATCTCAATTTACTCTTAAACTCACCTCTCTCTCATAAATCAGTGCAGATATTTTTAGAAATATCTGAAGCAAAGTCCTCAAATCACCGCCGAGTGATTTGAAGTTCATTATTTGTGAAACTGTCTGTTATTATTTTCATATTTTGCCAAATTAATGTAAATGTTTGATGTTAAACTTTGATTCTGAAAATAAATGATTCCATTCATTTGATGGGTCAAAGGTAATAACGTCTCTTGTTCGCATTCCTTTAAATTCAATGCACGGCATTACACAGTCAGAAAGATGAAGAACTCGTGAAAAGTATGCATAAATATATATCCATATATTTGTCATACAACAAGTGACACGTACCTCACGTGACTCACTACAGGCTGCCACATCTGGCTAATATAAAATACTACAAGTGTTTTAGGTGTGAGGGGTTTTTGTTCAGCTCTGCTGCTTGTTTGTGTCTCTGTGGTTCTCTTGCACAGTAATACACAGCAGAGTCTTCAGGCTGCATGTTCTGTCCATTCAGAGTCACTGTTCTGCTGGAAGCAACGAAGGTGAAACTGAACTTGTTCTTCAGTGATTCTTTATGGAATGTGGTCCATCCATCTCCTCCTCTGATGATCCACTCCAGTCCTTTCCCTGCAGGCTGTCTGATCCAAGCTGTTGGATAGCTGCCCAGAGAATAAGAGACCTGACAGCTGATGGTCAGACGTTGACCTGGCTGCAGAGTTATAGAGGCTGGCTGAGTCAGTTGCTCACACTTCACACCTGAGGAGGAAAACATTTAACATAAATCAATCGTAACAGTAAAAGAGTCAGTGTGGTTGGATCATTCTGTCAGTGTCTCAGTGACTCACTGGATCCAGCAGCCAGCAGCAGCAGCACAGCTACAGACAACATGATGGTGATGAAGAGGATCTGACTGTGATTGTTTGTCACTAAGGCTTTTATAGCTGCAGGAAGGAAGTTCACTTTGCATTAAAAAAAAAGTAACATTGAGAGGTTACGTAAAATGATAAGTTATTCCTTAAAAGGCAATAAAGTGAATTTGGGATGTTTTCGAAATAAAAAAAACACATATATTGATTAATAGCTATTTTATTCAAACATAAAGTCAAGAAAACAAGTGTTTTTATTTACATTTCCATCAGTATTTTGTACCATTTTTTACACTTTTTCCACATTTATAAATTATTATAATTTCATATCATTTAAGTAGGTATGGTCAGAATTTTGACTAACATAAAGTAATGACACGAAGAAGGAGTCCTATTGGGCCTTTTTGGCCTGTGGGACCCTGGAAGCAGCTGATGGGTGCCGGCAGTCCAAGCGACATGCGGCTCGGGTGGTCGCTGAGGCAAAAACTCAGGTATGGAAGCAGTTCGGAGAGGCCATGGAGAATGACTTCCGTATGGCTTGAGGCGATTCTGGTCCACCATCCAGCATCTCAGGGGAGGAAAGCGATACACCACCAACACTGTTTATATTGGGAGTGGTGTGCTGCTGACCTCAACTCGTGATGTCGTGGGTCGGTGGGCAGAATACTTTGAAGACCTCCTCAATCCCACCGGCATGTCTTCCACTGAGGAAGCGGAGCCTGGGGACTCTGGGTCGGGCCATCCAATCTCTGGTGCTGAGGTCACCAAGGTGGTTAAAAATCTCCTCGGTGGCAGGGCCCCAGGGGTGGATGAGATTCGCCCGGAGTTCCTTAAAGCTCTGGATGTTGTAGGGTTGTGTAGGCTTACGCAACTCTGCAATATTGCGTGGAAATCGGGGGAAGTTCCCCTGGATTGGCAGACCTGGGTGGTGGTCCCCCTATTCAAAAAGGGGACCGTAGAGTGTGTTCCAACTACAGGGGGATCACGCTCTTAAGCCTCCCTGGTAAGGTATATTCGTTCTGGAGAGGAGGGTCGATCGGATAGTCGAACCTCAGATTCAGGAGGAGCAGTGCGGTTTTCATCCTGGTCGTGGAACACTGGACCAGCTCTACACTCTCAGCAGGGTCCTGGAGGGTGTGTGGAAGTTTGCCCAACTAGTCTACATGTGCTTTGTGGACTTGGAGAAGGCATTCGACCACGTTCCTCGGGGAACCCTGTGGGGGATACTCTGGGAGTATGGGGTACCGGGCCCTTTGATACGGGCTGTTAGGTCCCTGTATGACCGGTGTCAGAGCCTGGTCCGAATTGCCGGCAGGAAGTCGGGCTTGTTCCCTGTGAGAGTTGGACCCCACCAATGTTGCACTTTGTCACCGATTCTGTTCATAACTTTTATGGACAGAATTTCTAGGCGCAGCCAAGGTGTTGAGGGTATCCGTTTTGGTGACCTTAGGATTGCATCTCTGCTTTTTGCAGATGATGTGTTCCTATTGGCTTCATCAGATCGTGATCTACAGCTTTCGCTGGAGCGGTTCGCAGCCGAGTGCGACACGGGCACGATGAGGATCAGTTCCTCAAAATCCAAGGTCATGGTCTTGAGCTGGAAAAGGGTAGAGTGCCCTCTCCGGGTCAGGGAGGAGGTCCTACCCCAAGTGGAGGAGTTCAAGTATCTTGGGGTTTTGTTCATGAATGAGGAAAAAGTGGAGCATGAGATCAATAGGAGGATAGGTGCAGCATCTGCAGTGAAGCGGGCGCTGTACAGGTCTGTCATGGTGAAGAGAGAGCTGAGTCAAAAGGTGGAGCTCTCAATTTACCAATCGATCTACGTTCCCACCCTCATCTATGGTCATGAGCTTTGGGTTGTGACCAAAAGAACGAGATCTCGGATACAAGCGGCCGAAATGAGTTTTCTCCGCAGGGTGTCTGGGCTCTCCCTTAGAGATAGGGTGAGAAGCTCGATCATCTGGGAGGGACTCAGAGTAGAGCCGCTGCTTCTCCACGTCGAGAGGAGCCAGTTGAGGTGGCTCGGGCATCTGTTTAGGATGCCTCCTGGACGCCTCCCTGGTGAGGTGTTCCGGACACGTCCCACCGGGAGGAGACCCAGTGGAAGACCCAGGATATGCTGGAGGGACTATGTTTCTCAGCTGGCCTTGGAACACCTCAGGATTCCCGTGGAGGAGCTCGACAAAGTGGCTGGGAAGAGGGAAGTCTGGGCCTCCCTACTTAAGCTGCTACCCCCGCGACCCCACACCGGATAAGTGGAAGAAAATGGATGGATGGATGGTAATGACATAACTGGCAGAGTTAGAGCAGGTGTCTATTTTTCCAATCCACTCCCAGGGTCTCTTAGTTTTTGTTTCTTCTGTCTTTCTAAAACCAGGTGACACATCTTCACTGTGAAGTAAGTGACCAGGTGTCTCAAGAATGAATAAATCATGTTTGGTCTTAAAGTATTTATTGGGAAAAAGGGTTGATTTAAACCTTTACTGAATCAAAACATGTAAGACATGTAGCTCTGTGCAAAGAGCTTGAGTCAACCATAATTTTTGAAATATTTTCTTGGTAGCTAGACATTATTACAACCTTTGAAAGTAGTAATAATCCTCAGTTTCTGAGATTTTCTTTAAACAATTTCAGCCTTTCTTGTAATGTTTGCTCTAATTTTCCTTTCTTGTCATTTCAGAAAATAGCAACAAAAAAAAACCTACCTTTTTGTTCACTATTGCATAATTAATTACAAAACAGTTCAAATATTCAAGTAAAGTGTTTAAATGTAAGATTTTAATTGTGGTTTGATCTCTGTGGTTTATGATTGATAATTGTCTGTGTGCTTCCACCAGGTCTCTCTTGAAATGAGATTTTTAATCCCAATGGTTAAATAAAGGTTTAAAAAATATATATATAAATATATAATTTGCTCTGGACAGATTACTGTATCTGCATAAGATGTGAATAAATCTGCAAACTATATAATTATAGAATCTAAGCACTTTAAAATGTCACAGGTTATTAAGATTTTTGAATTAGTGCCATGAAATTGATTTATGTTGAATGTTTAAACTCCCCATGTCTGTAAATACTGTAAATATAATTTCATTTCCAAATATTTAACCTTTTCTATTATGTAGTGTATTTACTGTAAGGGTCTTTTTTCATCACAGGAAGAGTTGTACTTGGTTAAATTTTGTAAACCACTAACGTACTTGTATTATATTTAATCTAAAATTAATTTGAAGATTATAAAGTTGTTTTGACTTTGTTATACATGTAATGCTAGACAACAATGATGAGCTTTTTCACCAAAGTTTGTTCAGAACAAAGAGGTTTACTGCTAAACATGTTTAAACTGTGGAAATGAGCTACAGCGCCTCGGCAAAAAAATAAAAATAAAGTGGGATCATTTGACTGACGGCTGAAGTTTATCTGAAACTGTTACACATCCCAAACTCAACAAACGTTTCTACAAAAAAGTGTCAGAAAAGAGTAAATTTCCTAATTTTAGCACTTAATAGATGTTTATTACCTAATAAAATTAAAAGGATTTGCTTATGTTAAATGTACAGCTTTCATAATTTTGATCTATTAAACCAGCTGAGACAGTTTCCCAGGTTTTTGTACAGTTGCTGAACCAGTTTCAGTCACTGTAGTTCTTGAGCACAATAATAAACTGCAGAATTTTCAGTCCTCAGACTGTTCATCTGCAGATATGCAGTCTGCCCTTGTCTCTGGAGTTGATGAACCGACCGTGAACTAAGTGAGAGTAATACTGGGTCCTTCCATCAGTATTGACAAATGCAACCCATTCCAGGAGCCTGTCTGACCCAGTGCTTCCAGTAAATGCCGAATGGGAACCCAGAGGCTGTGCAAGTCAGTTCGTGGGATTCTCCAGGTCTTCTAACCACTGGTTCAGACTCAGTAAGTATCTGAGCATCAGCACCTGATGATACAAACAAGAAATTGAGATCATATGATGCTTGTAACAGAATTGTTTTTTAGACCAAAATCTGTGAAAGTCTTCACCTGTCCTGTTCTCTGTCATCATCACTTCAAGCAGGTAAGTAGAGGTGGTGTTTAAATTTTGCATTGACTCCTCCTAGCAGGAGGGATTAAACTCAAATGGGATTATGATACAGCTGCATTGGTGTACAGTTACATAGAATTGTTGCAAATACAATATTACGTCAAAGTAGCATACTGAGAAAACTCTGCGTGTGGCTCCATTTAGTTTACATGCTAATTTTTCATATTGTTTAATTCAACATTGAATATTTGGTATCCAGAAAATAAAAAGAGTTTGTGTTACCATTAATAGAAAAACTACAGTTCTGCATTCAACAATGAAAACTGGTCTTGATTCTATCCTGATGCATGCTCAATAATCCAGATAGAAAAATCTAAAAAAGTTCAGTCTGGTTTGCTGGACATTTTATTTTTTATTTTTGCTTTGTTTAGTTTTTTTGAATGTCCAGAGGTCTAGACTGAACATTTTTAGATGGTCTTGATTCTGTTGATGGTGTGAGGGCTCATCCTGTGCCAGACAGACTGAGTCTCTCAACAAGAGCAAGACTGGATTTTATTTTAGAAACACATATTTAATGGGGGATGTAAAGGTCATGGATGTTTTTCACTTACTAATGCCAAATGTTATAGAACAATGTGGGTGTGTTAGAGTTGTTTAGTCTTTGCAAAGTGGAGCTTGCAAGAGCACGGAGCCTGCGCACCTGAGCGCCTGCGTGCCGGCTTTCCAGCTTAGGACCTTCAAGAACCTAAACTGAAAAGCAGAATTTTCTTGAGATGTTGTCTTGACTTCGCCTCTGTTTGATATAAAAAATATACTTCTTTATACTGCCTGGGAGCCGACCTTGTGAGAAGAAGCGCCATAGAACATCTTGATGCTTGTATTTCACCGCTGCTCCACTTGCAAGATTAAATCTGGGTTGATAAAGATCTTCTAGTTTCCTTGTGTGGCTTAATTATTTAATGAGTTGATGATAGGATAATTAAATTATCCGACAATATTATACATGATGAAAGAAGCACAATTTTAGGTGTGTACTTTGATAAGCTGATTGACTCATGATCATCAACTGTTTTTATTGTTCATGATTTTTTTATTATTATTATTATTATTTATGAGTAATTTTAGTTTGAATGTTGATCAACATTAGAGGCCAAAGAAAATACATTTTTGAACCAGTATATGTATGTACTCTAAAAAGTTTGCGTAGGTATGTGCTGCTTCATAACACTGACCAGTGGTAGCGTGTTTTATTGTATTTTGTTTATGTGTATAAGTTGCATTGGTCTCTTATGTTTCAACACTAGAGCTTTTTATTTTTCCATGAGCAGTTCTGAATTCATGAGTGGTGTAAGAGTGCCTCCTCTGGCTGGTGAGTTATGTTACCAGAGTTCCGGCTCTGAGGGGGGTTTTTGTGCATGTGCTGTGATGTTTGTGTCACTGTGGCTTTCTCCAGCACAGTAATACACAGCAGCATCTTCAGGCTGCATGTTCTCCCCAGTTAGAGTCACTGTGTTGCTGGAATAGTCCAAGTTGACACTGAACTTGTTTTCTAATGAATCTTTGACAGATGTGTCTATACTCATCCACTCCAGTCCTTTCCCTGCAGGCTGTCTGATCCAGTGTGTATTATAGCTGCTGAGAGAATAAGAGACCCGACAGCTGATGGTCAACTGTTGACCAGGCTGCAGAACGGCAGAGGCTGGTTGAATCAGCTGTTCACATTTCACACCTGAAGATAAAGAGCATGTCGGGAGTCAGTGATTCAAAGCTAATTCTTACAAATTTTTGAAAATTTAAACTGCTTTACAAATTAAGTTACAATTTAGATAGAGCTTACATAATCCAGCTGCCAGCAGCAGCAGCAGCTGAGTGACAGAAGACATTGTTGGAGTTAAAGTTCTGGAGCAGTGCTTCAGGTCCTCTTTAACTTTTCACTGCACGACACTAAAGAACTCAGCATTTGCATACAGAGCCTAAGAGGGAGGATCTTCATCACTTGGATTCCCCAGAAGTCAAATGATCTAATGCAAAAACATGATTCACAAGTATGTGTTTAAGATTAAAACGTCTAAAAATTCAAGAAACGTGATCTTTTGAAATAACACCAACTTTTTTTGTTCATTATTGACAGCTCTCCCGGTTTCACTTCATCCCTTCATGTTTCAAAAGCACTTTTAAAATACTAAATGAAAACATTTTGGCTAATTCAAAATGGTGATAGAATATATTTGAATCTTACACTTTCTGTGGAAATGTTGTTTGATTTAACTAGCGTTGCCTCAAAAAATAGTAAACTGATGTCTCACTGATTAGTCACACAATGCTACTACTTTTTATCTCCTGCTGCAAATGAATGCAAAGCAATATTTTTTTAATGTGTATCTTCAGGTGAACTACGACAGCAAAGCAATCTTACAAAAAAAAATAGTGATAACTCAATCAATTCTACAGATGCAGAATTGAAATGTAGAGTGGTAGCGGCTGAGAGTAATAACCAATTTGTACTCCAAATCCTAACAGATAATGTTATAATATATCACAATATCACATGAGATTGCACATAATATTATTTTCAAGGTTTACCCAAACTGGCTACAACTTTGTCATATCTAACGTAAGGTGATCTTAGACTAAAACTCTGACATAAAAAACAGTGAGACTGTCAGGATTCTTGTTTTGTGGTGCTGTTGTCTTCTTGTGATTAATGTATTTTGGTTTTCTTTGAGTGGGCGGCACGGTGGTGCAGTTGGTAGAGAGAAAGTTGCCAGAGTGAATCCTGGCCGGAGGGCCTTTCTTGGTGGAGTTTGCATGTTCTCTCCACACATGCGTGGGTTTACTTCGAGTACTCCGGTTTCCTTCCACAGAGCAAAAACAAGCACGTTAGACTGATTAAATCTAAATTGTCCTTATAGGTGTGAGTGAGAGAATGAGTGGTTGTTTGTCTTTATGTGTCCCTGTGATGGACTGGAAACCTGTCCAGGGTGTCCCCTGCCTCTCGCACATGACCGCTGGATATGGGCACCAGTGACCCCTGTGACTTGAAAAGGAAGAAACGGGTAAAGGATAATGGATGGATGGATGGATGGATGGATGGATGGATGGATGGATGGATGGATGGATGGATGGATGGATGGATGGATGGATGGATGGATGGATGGATGGATGGATGGA